GGGGCTGTGTGGGGCGGGGTGTTGCATGGGGTGAGTGCAGTGGGCACAAGGACTATGTCCACTGGCACTGCCAGTCTTGGACGGGGATGTCCTTTCCCACCTGAGGTGGTCTGGGAAGAGCTTTGGGGTGTGTCTGTGCTCTACAAAAAGAGGCTCCAGGGCAGCATTAGAGACTCCTGGGGCTGAAGATGAATATGAGAAGGGTGATTGAAGATGCCGGTGGGGAAGCAGCCACGATGAGATGATACGTGCAGAGGAACAAACAAGATTAGGGGATTTCAGCTCCAAGACCCCCACCCGGGTTCACCTCTCCTCCTCACAGCCGTGGAGAGAAGGATTAACCTCTGGGGAGAGCAGTGTGGTGATGCTTCCACTTCCACTGTGGCAGCAGTCCCAGCGCCGGCAGCCGCGGTGCCAGGCAGCCCTTGGCTTGCATCTCCTCACCCACGGAGATGTGGACAGGGTTGTCCCCCCTAAACGAGAGCACAAGCCTACCCCAGCAGGTTGAGGGGTGAAAGGAGGCATCAGGGACTGCTGCAACCAGAGCATCCCCTTCCTCACAGCGGCTCCACGCCTGCACAGGTTGGTACCCCCAGTGCAGATGGATGTCAAACAGACTGAGCTGGATGCATTGACCCACCTCGGGTGTTCAAGTGGCTCCAAAGAATGTTTATCAATATGGTGATAGGCACTTTATATATATATAAATATAAATATATATATATATATATATATATATAAAAACCCTGTGTTCAAGCCGCTCCATCATCTGCTTGGAAATCAAGAGAGAAGAGGAAGAACAAGCCCAAGCGTTGTGCTTGCAGAGGGGGATACAAGGCTGCACACTGCGGGGAACCCAAATGTATAAAGCAAAAGTAATAAACTAGGTTCTTCACATACAGAAATAGCAAGTGAGAAGAGCCAGCTACACATGGACTTCCTGGGACAGGGCAACATGTCCTTCAGCTCAGTATCTGTTTCTGAGCAGCAAATGTAGATTTCCCCAGTGTGCAGGGAAAAAGGAACAGGTGAGATATGAATTAATCTTTCCTCTATCATTTTCGTCATCTATAGATTTAGTTGTCAATGACTTCATCCCTGGAGGGGTTGAAGAGTAGGGTTGACCCAGCGCTGAGGGTTCTGGGGGAGTTGGGAAGGGTCAGGGTGAGGGTCATGGTTGGGCTGGAGGAGCTGCAGGGGCTTTTCCAACCCAGAGGATTCCGTGACTCTGTAGTTCCTTCTGGGCTCCAGACATCCAGAGCTGTCCCAGTGTTGACTGTCACAGCTCAAGTGAATTTGACTCTGCTCTGGGACCTTACCCTCAGCCTGGCAGGTTCCAGGCAAACACACAGAGCTGCAAAAAAAAACCCAACAAAAAAAAACCACAAAAGCTGCAAACCCCCCACACTGCTTCTGCCCAAATTTGGCCCAAGCTGGGCACACAGGGGTGTCCGAGGGACACAAACCCTTCTGTCCCCAGCACAGGGCTGGGGTCCGCCAACAGCATTTGCTCAAGCGGGTGGTTCTCTGCACCGGGATTTCTACCACGTGTGACACCAGGTGAGGCAGAGGAAGGAGAAGCTGCCTGGAAGAGCAGGGGAAGAGGCTGGAAGCGCCTCTGACGCAAAGTTCTATGACTAAGTGGGCTCCTTCCCAGCTGCCAGCTTGTCTTTATGATATTAAGCCTTTCCTCTGCTGCCATATAAGAAGTGAAAAGTTGACACGTAAGCGTGTGTCATACGGAGTCAGATAGACAGGAGCAATAAGGCATAAAAGGAGGTGAGATCATCGTGCAGCAACAACTCCCCCGGGGTAAGAGGCAGCGCTGCACAGCGCCCGCTGGCTCTCCGCACCCCCCGCACCCCAGCACCCCTCCTCGTGGCACACTCAAACCAAAGCCCGTTTCCACGCCAAGCCTCCCAGATCAGGGGCACGCAGAGGGTGCCGCGCTGCCTGCCACAAAATGAGGCAATTAAGCTGACCCTTCAAATGGTTTTATTAAAAAGGAGCCCCCGCCGCAGCGCAGGGCTCTGGCAGCCGTAATGTCGCAGCCCCCCAGGATTATCGCCGCTGAATGGGGCGGCTGCTGTGCGCCACTTGCTTGAAAAGAAGAATAATCATCAAATATGTTAAGTTTATAGCCCTGCTGGCAGCGCTCTTTGCGCTCCTGCGGACCCCGTGTAATTGAAATTAAATAGCGGCGAGTGATACCTTTCTGTCCTTCCTACGGCAGCCTGTGCTCGCTTGTGAATGCGAAGTGGGGACGAGGAGGAGGAGGAGGGACAGGGCAGCAGCTGGGTGCCCACGGGCAGCTCTCTCAGAGCAGCTTTCACCCCTCTCCCAGCCGCTGGCAGGGGCTCAGTCTCCATCCCAAGGTCCCCAGCGGAGCGCTTGGCTCCCCAGACCCCACAGCCAAGGACGAGCTCATAGTCAGCAAGCGAGGAGTTTCTCTCTCTCCCCTCCAAATCCTTCTTTTCCCCAATCGCCCCCTTTGCTCTCCTCAGCAATGCTCCTCGCTTGGCGGGCGAGCGCAGCGGGGAGGCAGCCACCCTGCCAGAGCCACTTCGCGGCAGTGACCAACCTCCCCGGCAGCCAGGAAAGCCACTCGGTGACAGGAGGGAGCCAAAAGTTTCTAGGGGATGTGGGAAAGGAGCTGACAACTCCCGGCTCCTCTGAGGCACTGCAGGCAAAGTTAACTGTTTAGACTGTCATTTTTTTTTAACGCAACAACATTGCTCCCAGGCACATTTTTTTTTTTTAACTCTTTTTTTTTTTTTTTTTTTTTTTAAATAAAGAAAACAGAGCAGCTCTCTCCAGAAGGCCATTAATCCTCCCCTGTCACTTGTGTTCTTGGAGAGAGCATTTCTCTGGGCAAAAGCAGCAAGTTGCTCACTGACTAATTACATCAAAATATTGAGGGCAACAAACCAACCCTTAACTCCACTTGCCAGAAGCTCTCTAGATGCAAAGAATCAAATCAAAGGAGAAACTTAGGCCACAGCAGGAGATGCTGGGGCTCCAGACACGCTCATGGCCACATCAGCTTTCACAAACATGAACTTTCTTTCCTCTACAAAGCCACTTGAGTTGAGCTAACTTTGCCCAAGATAACTTTACCCAGAATATCTCCCACCCAAGGCTTCTGATTTCTTACAAATAAAGAATTTTTGCCTTTACCAGGGAAGGTAAATAATTTATTTTCTCTCATTCCTATCCAAGCACCTGGGTTTTGAGTACAGAGTGAGGACTGGACTCATGTCCCCCAGGAAAGTTCTTGCTTAGGCTTCAAGGCCCATTACAAGACGGTTCTCAAAAGCTCTTGGCTGAAATCAGGAAACTTCTCTCAAAGCCCATCTGACACCTTCACTTATCCCCGCAACAGCCTCCCCTTGGGATGCGACTTCACAGACCCAACCCTGCCCTGCCCCAAGACCCACACAGGACATTCAGCCAACATGCTTTGGGCTTCGTCTTCATTTCCATCCCATCACCCCATGTTGCCCGTACAGCCAGAATGGGAAAAGCCAATGCTGAAAGAGGAAAGCCCAGTTCTGCATTTAGGTGCTAAACCTGAGGCTCTTCCAAGAGGTTTTGGATGCCCAAGAGCCAAAACCGGTGACTCAAACACACGCTTTGGCCCCAAACCCACAGCTGCCAGACAGACATCCCCTTCCACCCCCAGAGCTGCCTCTCCTGGGCTGGAGAGCACCAGGGGCAGGCAAAGGCTCCGGCCCCAAAACGGGGGTTAACCAAAGGCAGCTGCTGGGGAGGTTTCTCCACGCTCCGTGGGTGTTTCTACACACAGGTAATTGGGTTCTCATCAAACAACTTAACAAGCTGCACTTGAGGAGCCCGGCGACAAGCGCAAGGCAGAGTTATTCAACATCAAATTGTTGGTTTCGAGGGATTGTTTAAAAAAAGAAATTCAAAAGTGCTCAGAGTGTCACCTACAGATTTTGCCAGCAATACCTTGGTTTTTAAATACCGCGTGCATGAAAGCTCCCCCAGAGCCATCTCTTGTACCTTATAATAATATTCACCAGGGGATCCTCCTAATGCAGGGTTTGAATCCATTGCTGTTGAATACACCTGACTCCTTGGCTCGCGGGGAGGGTTTGGGTAAACACGCCTGCGAGCTGCTGCTCGGAGAGACAATTACGGCCCTCAAGCATCGATCCGAAAGGTCTGATCACACCCATGAGGAGCGAGAGGCTTCCCCAAAACGGGCGCAGACCCGGCTTGCAGATGCTGTCCCAGGGAGAGCCACGCACTTGCCAAATGGTCTCAAGCGAAGGAACGAAGAAACCCAAGTCTCTACTGCAGTTTATATTTAATTAGGGGAAAGGCAGCTTACGCAGCAGTTTCGGAAACATATTGTCTTACAGCATATTGGATATTTGTATCTTAACAGCTCGACATCGATTTCTTTTATGTAAAGGAAGAGGGGGGGAAGAGAACTGCGTGCCCTAAGTTGTGTTAGCTCCAAAGAGACGCCTGTACCGCTTGGACTAATGTTTAGAGTAATCAAAGGCGTGAACTCATGTATTATGTATGGGAACGAGAATTTTCAGTCTTCTGCAAAAAGGAATCTCCAGCGTTTGGTATTTTGTTAGCAGGCTGGCACCATATGGCTCTCCCCTGCTGATATTCTTTCACACCAGAACTTTATGTTCAGATGCTTTAGTTAATATTTTACCCAGCAAGCATAAACAAGATGCAAAGATTGCAGTCGACAGCAACCTTCTCTTAAACCATATACCCATGTTAATAGTGAAGGCTTCTTTCAGCAAGTAGTTTACGGAACACATGCCTGGATTTTTATTTTATTTTTTTATTCCTTAGGGGTCCAAGCTGGGCCATTTACTTTAACAGCCACAGCATCAAACAAAACACAAGAAGCGAACCCAAAAAGGAGACTTTCACTCCCTTCCTACTTTTCGCTGCCTGGTCCGCAGCAGCGCTGGATGCGTGCAGGTGCTGCACACATACGAGCTGTATCTGTGGATAATTTAAGGCTGCACCTCTGCCCGGTTTTCATTTCAGACTAGATATTATCTCAGGAAGATAGAGCTGCCTCTTCTCCACTACTGAAGCGGGGATGGAGCACCAGGCAAAGCTCTCAGCCCGCGGGGGAGCCTCACCTGAGCCCTAAACTGGCCAAGCAAGACCAACAATATAGAGCATCCAACTCCACCGGCTTTACCAAGACTTGTGCTCGCCCCCCTCTGCCCCAAGTCAGACACAGAATCACTTTGGAAGACTGCAGCTTGGAGATTTGGCTCTAAATATTACATTTAGATCC